TGAATGGTGTACAATGATGTACAGAATAAAGATATCAAATAAGTACAGAATAAAGATATCACATAAGTACAGAAATGAATGGTGTACAATGATGTACAGAATAAAGATATCAAATAAGTACAGAATAAAGATATCAAATAAGTACAGAAATGAATGGTGTACAATGATGTACAGAATAAAGATATCAAATAAGTACAGAAATGAATGGTGTACAATGATGTACAGAATAAAGATATCAAATAAGTACAGAATAAAGATATCAAATAAGTACAGAAATGAATGGTGTACAATGATGTACAGAATAAAGATATCAAATAAGTACAGAATAAAGATATCAAATAAGTACAGAAATGAATGGTGTACAATGATGTACAGAATAAAGATATCAAATAAGTACAGAATAAAGATATCAAATAAGTACAGAATAAAGATATCAAATAAGTACAGAAAAAATTAAAAGTAAAATCATTTTCATGAGAATATTACAGAATAAGCGTTATTTCAAATGATAAGAAACATGCCCTACAAAATTAAAGATAACAGAAATTAAGGACCCTCATTCGCGTTCGGTATATTGAGTCATGCCGTACGCGTTCGGTATACCGAGTCATGATAGTTATTATATATTCAATTTAAGTTATGTCAGATGATTCGCTGATTGAAATTGTTTAACATATGATTTTATATGCGTACGATTTTAGCATGTCGAAATTTGGAGAAAAATAAAAGTAAAACATGGTTGTTAAATAAATGTTCGTTTACCTTTTATTAAAGAAATATTTAACATTTCTCCTTGATTCAGGAAGTCCACCAAAGTAGTAATCGGTTTGATTTTGGGAGACAGATATTTCATTCAAATTGACTATGTTTAAATAAGGATCTTACTGGGTGGGGTAAGGTGAATCAAACATTTAAAATTGGACTTCTAACATCATCTCTTACTTCTAAGTCTGCCAATACCTTTCTCTTGACTCTAAATGAAATACAAATCAATCTATTATAATACTTGTTAGATCACTGTTTGACATTTCATACCTTTCATGCATGTACATAAATTATAGAGAAGCCTTACTGTTAGGAATATACTGATAGAAGGTGCTTGTGTCATTTGAAGCATATTGGATCCGTGGAATGCTATTATTTAAGAAATAATTCATGGAAGCCATAGATTTGTTGGAAATTTACATATGGCCCAGGCCATGTGTAAATTTACAACAAATCCATGGCTTCCATGAATTATTTCGATTCTAATAGGACAAATACGGTCATTAAAAAACTGAAGCGAGTGTGAGTATGCCGTGTGTGTGGCTATTCTTTTTTACTCCCTGTTAGATAAAGCTCAAACATTCTAATAAATATGTAGCTTGCATCAAATATTTCGCAAAAACCTCTAGAAAAAATGTGTTTAATTCTTTTAACTCTCAAACCCAACATTTGCCATTTGTAATTTATATGTTTTTCTCGTAAGCTATCGTCAAATCCAAAGTTGACATTTCGTAACTAAGGAGCCGCCATGTTGACTTGCTGAAATCAGTAAATATGCGAATAATGCAATAGAATAGAAAATAAAACAAACCCTACCTCAAAAATCCATTTTAATGCAATATTATACGAACTTCCATGGTTTACGTAACGGAAAAATCTAAGCTTTAGCGTTTTCATTTGTATGACGTCATGTTTTGAAATGACTCGAATGCGCCAAAGGCATTAATGGACTTTCGCGGAATTTTAATTTATTTTGATTTTGCAGATTTCTCCGAGCTCTTGTGCATTTATTCTTTTTATTATGCATCCGAATAAGAATAGAAGTTCTGTAGTCATTTTTCAATTGAAATTTTTAAAACAATAAAATCGGCATAGCGTTTGCAAATAAGTTCCGATACATGTGGATTTACGTAGGATGTATTTTGTAACATCCATTATTATGTATATCTCTGAGTCTGCGCTAAGTATAGATATATCGAGTATTTTATCATGGTGTTGTTTACAAAGCGAAAGAAGCGCGTCATATTAGAATTGTCTGTATAGTACATTGTACTTATTTGTGAAAAAAAATGCTAATGATATGCGGTATGATTGCAAATGAGACAACTATACACCAGAGACCAAGGGACGAGGATGTAAACAACATAGGACACTGTAATATACGGCCTTCAATAATGAGACAACTATACACCAGAGACCAAAGGATGAGGATGTAAACTATACGGCACTGTAATATACGGCCTTCAATAATGAGACAACTATACACCAGAGACCAAAGGATGAGGATGTAAACTATACGGCACTGTAATATACGGCCTTCAATAATGAGACAACTATACACCAGAGACCAAAGGATGAGGATGTAAACTATACGGCACTGTAATATACGGCCTTCAATAATGACGTCAAATCCGACAACAGATGCCTGTGCTTTATTATTCTGGACAGAATATCAATAGTCTACTATATCATTTGTATTCTATCCTACATTTTGACAGAAAAGCAATCAGAATAATTTATATCAACAATGGAAAAGTTTTAAACGAAGGAGAAGCAGAGTGTTTATTACTTTATTAATAATCAAAATAAACGTACATTTCATTTTTTTTTTTCAAAATTACGATTCAGTAACATCCTATGCATATCAAAATAAATTGATTAGTAAATTATCTGTTAACATGGTTAAAACATACACAAGGTCATAACTTAAAACTTCAACCATCATAAATCGGTTTACCGTGAAGGAATATGTTTGTTTGTCGTCTGATTTCTAGATTTCAAGAGCAACACGACGCGTTCCACTTGTGGAGCAGCCCGTACTTACCTTTCAGAAGCTAATGAGATCATAGGGGTTATTTTGTTCCGTCTGAATTTTTGACGGATCATGATTAGTTGTATTTTCGCCTATCGACTTTTTCCCTCTTCAATTTGGAATTGGCAGTCCTTTGATTGTTGTTGTTGTTTTTGTTTTCTTTTTCTGTGAGCAATTAATTAATACTAGCTACACTAAAATGCACATTGACTGGCAAAACCGTGTTTTTCTCTTTATTTTTTTTTAGTAAATCAGAATTGTGACTTTTTAAAAGTTTCACAGCTGCAACGAAACCGCGTATTATTAACCACTTTATTTTTTCAAGTTTTCTGCTTTTCCACTAAGTACACGACATGAACCTTCTGATTCGTGACATGTGTAATTCTTTAAAAAAATAATTAAATCATTTTTTTTTTGTCCAACGAGCCAGTACTGCACATTAGCTGGTACATAATCTAACATATAGATATTCGGAACGCAGAAAATATTGTGCTGTTACACCACTGACCAAGGTTAGTGGAAGGTTTTGCGACCATAAACTATTTAAATCCACAATATTCTTAATGTGCTTGTCACAAGTCAGGAGCATGGTGGTTTTCGTCGGTTGCTGTCTACCATATACATTTTCGTTTATTGTGTTTAGCATAAATCAAGCCGTTTTTTTTCTGTTTTGATTTTTTTCACATTTTGCCATGCTAGGGCTTTGTATAGCTTCCAATACGGTATGGAGTGTTCTCATTGTCGAAGGCCGTGCAGTGCCCTATATATATTATTTTATTATTGACCTTTGGTCTTTGGTGGACAGTTGTCTCATTGGCAATCAAACCCCATCTCCTTATTTTTTATTGGGATACTATTTAACAGAATAATTTGATGTATATAGAGAAATAAGAAGATGTGGTATGAGTACAAATGAGACAACTATCCATCCAAGTCACAATGTGTAAAAAGTAAACAAGCATAGGTCAAAGTACGGCCTTCACCACGGATATGCATGAAAAACTAATGGTGTTTTCCAAAGTATATAGATATTTTATACTGATTCGGAAACAGTTTTTGGCCATCATGGTTCAATATTTTTGCTATAATCAATGAAGTAATAAAATAAATACAGCAAGTTTTACTTAATGAAACAAAAGCATATAAAGTAGGGCCTCGACTATTCTTAGAAAAGGGGAGGATCAATTTCCTCTGAAGTTACATTAAATATTAACTAAAAACCATTAAAATGTCACAGCTACATGTATTTAATAAGAGTTTGTATCAACATTGTTGCTTGTTTCTTAACATATTATAAAATTACAAAAGCCTAAACATAGCCTAAAACTGCAATGTTAATTGATCTTGTATTGTAATTACCAATTATTTACATAAGAAGGCCAATCTTATCCGAAACCAAAATTGTGCTATTCTATTAAAATTATATATTATCAATCTGATCAAAAATAATGTACATTGCTTAAAGGTGTCTTCGATTAAAAACATGTAGAATTGCAAATATGCTTTCAACAGAAGTTTAAAACGTCAAATAATATTTTGATTTCAACAACGTTCTGATTTTTATCATGTGAGTCAAACAATTCCATGGGGAAATTGACCCTACCTATTAAAAATAGGGAAATTGACCCTACCTATTTAAATCGAATTTCAAATGTCATTTTAAAAACCCAGAAGCAGTCGTATTGAAATGGTCTTAATTTTTCATCGAAAGAAATTTATAGATTCATTAGAAAAGGATTGATCCGATTCTGTTTGTCAATATTCCAAGTTACAGCATGATGCGTGTTTAAATATTGAAGTTCAAATAAAGGTGTAGTTTGTAAAATGGAAAATAATCAAATAATATTAGAAATAATGACTATAATTAAGGTGTGTACATATAGGATTGCATTTCATTATCTTTAAAATTGTAGTATTCAAGTGTCAATAATTAACTTCGGGAATCCTCAATATTGAATCAAGGATCACAACATCATGTAGACATATTACTTATATTGACCATTTGTGGAAGTTTACATGTATATATCACTTGTAAATTGACTTTTGAATTTTTACTTGGTAGCCCCTATAGATTTGTCTTAGTATAATTATCACATTGTATATGAAAGTTTCCCATTAACAAGTATTCCCTAGAATTCCCCGAACAATAATTTGCTGGTGCTAAATTCAATTGAATATTGTATTTATTGACTTTGCCTTACAGGAACCCTTCTGTATGTAGATTATTCCGTGTTTTATGGTGGAATGAGAGACCTTAGACAAATCTCGTGGGAACCCTTACAGAAGCATAGTATTAATAACATACTTAGAATCCAAAATCATCAGTATTCTGCAGAGATCCAACCTCGAAGACTCATGGAAGAAGGTATTCAAAATTACATCCCCTGTTCCTAATGTTTCAAAGTACTAAAGTCGTATTGATCATTCATGAAATTACAAGTACTATAATTGAAAGTTAAAAACGTTCTTTGATATAAAAAATAAATATTCCTATTTGATAGATTCTTATTTCTTAATGCTCTGTTTTTTTTTCTTACCAACACATTAGTTGACGCGGAATGAGACTACAAAATATAATCAATACCACAGCAAGTGATCAAATATACCAATACATAAACATCAAAAACTATAAATCAGTAAACGTGATTATTACGCCCAACGTGGACTCTACGTGACTTATATCCATTCAATATATTCCTACAGACAGAACCGATCTTGACTAGCAGTAGATGTACTTTTTATGACATATAATAAACTCCCACTCATATCTGAGGAGACACCAATCTTTATGAATCATCAGCTATCTTCGACTGCTGGCAGTGGTATGTTTTATATAAATTCTAGACACATATCTATAAACATGATAAAGACAAGTAAAATACAATAAATTGTAGTCCGTCAAAAGGTATCAAGACTTCTTCCGTTATCTAGATGATATTTTTTCGTTAAATAATCCCGAGTTCTCTAAATATACTACCGAAATTTACCCAATAGAACTTACTTTAACTAAATCTAACATAAACAGCAGTAGTTGTCCTTTTCTGGATTTGGACATTTCAATCTCTAAAGGAAAACTCCATACGAAAATTTACGACAAAAGAGACGATTTTTCATTCCCTATTGTCAATTTTCCTTTTTTAGACGGCGATGTTCCTTTGGCTCCATCATACGGTGTTTATATATCCCAACTCGTTCGTTATGCCCGTGTGTGCAGTGATGTCATAGATTTTAACGAACGTAATCAATGCATCACTGGTAAATTACTAAGTCAGGGATTTCGTTACCATAAATTACGTAAAACTTTTGCTAAGTTCTTTCATAGATACAAAGATTTGATTAGTAAATTTGGCTGTACTTGTAGAAAACTGATTAAAAACGGTGTTTCATATCCTAAATTTTACGGTAATATTGTACTTAAAGCGCGGAAATCACTATGTGATCCGTGTAAACTCATCGAACCTTTAAACAAACTTATTAGTAAAGGTTATCTTACCAATGTTGTAATTAGATCTTTGAATATAGTTTACATTGGCACTAATATCGATTTTGTCATCAGCAAATTAAAACATAACTAAATTTGTATTCTTTTCAAACGGGATGTATAAAGACACACCCACGTTCGTTTTGATCTATAAAGAGGTTAAACTCCTAACTATCCTACTGTCTGTCGATACATTTATTTTTGGCATTGCACTAGACAAGTCATGTCTTCTTTGACTGTCCATGACGTTAAAATACTAAAACCATGGGATGTGTTTTAGTTGATTTTAGTCTCTGATGCATGATTTTTTATTATTAATTCTTTTGGCTTTTAACTAGCTGACAGTAACTGCGAGTACTCTCAAATCGTACTTTCTTGTTTACTTGACCTGTTGATACTAATTGTATTGCTTTTTTGTTATTTAATGTTATTCAGGGTTATATCTGGTCTATATACCAGCTTTGATAAGTGTTTGGTATTACTATAAATTTTCACTTCGTACTATGAACATCAAAATTATTTATTTTGTAAAAATATTTCCTTTCTCTATTGGTGCTGTACACGTATACCTAACAACCAAATTATTTTCCTTTACCTGTGTTTAAAGTTATTGCAAATGGCTAATGTTTTTGTTCGAACATATTGTTTTTCTTTAATTGTTTAACATTTCATACCGATATAACATGTTACTTTTATTATTCTTCCCTTAGTTTATTTATTTTGTATTTACATTGTATCATAGGTCAAATTTATTTGTTCAGTGTATGTTCAATGGTGTTAATATGTCCTTTGATTGAGTTAAGCTATTTCAGTTGATATTTTATAGTGTGTCTTTCTATGTTGTGGTGTTACACTTTTGTTTCAGAAAAAGGGTGAAGGTTTGGTACCATTAAAACGTTTAAACCCGCTGCATTTGTTTGCACCTGTCCTAAGTCAGAAATCTGATGTTCAGTAGTTGTCGTTTGTTGATGTGGTTCGTAAGTGTTTCTCGTTTCTCGTTTTTTATATAGATTAGACCGTTGGTTTTCCCGTTTGAATGGTTTTACACTAGTAATTTTTGGGGCCCTTTATAGCTTACTGTTCGGTGTGAGCCAAGGCTCCGTGTTGAAGACCGTACTGTGACCTATAATGGTTTACTTTTATAAATTTTGACTTGGATGGAGAGTTGTCTCATTGGCACTCATAACACATCTTCTTATATCTATTTGACTTCTTCAGTTTGGCAAACAATATCCGTGCAGAAAGAAAGAGGCATCCTGTTGACTGATATGGATTTTTAAATATGCTGTCACAACGGGATGAACTTTTCCGCAGAAAAGTCCTTAGATTTCTAATCATACCCTGAACACACCTCTTTTATGGTGGTAATATAAGGTGCCTGTCTCTTGTTACCGTGTATTTACTGTTAAGATCCATAACGAATTTATATATTTTCAGCTTATTCTCATTCTTCATAAGTTAAAAGTACTTTATTGCTACCTTACAAAACCAAATGCCAGTTAAGTTGTATGAAACATTCTCAAAAATCTATAAAACAAAAGACAGAGACGGTATATTTTTCTCTTTTAGGTTGCTATGACGAAGAAGAATGTATTGTTCGTGAAACAGTCAAACAGCTCCCAAGAACCCCAGTCTCAAAAGACAGTGTATATATTCTCTCAGCATTCCATACGATGGACATTACAGAAAATCTCGAACGGAGATGGATGTCTTGGAGCGGTGCCAGAGTCATTCTATGGAAATGTCCGAAAGACTTAAAATTGCGCCGTATTACATTTTTACGTTCTACAACTGAAAGAGACAGCTATAGTTATCTCGTTCTTGCTGAGTGTGAAGAAGGGATGAATTGTTTAAATCTCGCGAGACAATTTGCTGACCACTTGAAGGATAGAAGGTGCGGACTTGTGGGCTTGTACAAAGTAGAACGTTATTACATTCCACAGTTAGCCAGATCTCATAGCTCAAGTACAGTGTAGAACCAAGAGAAGAGCTCAAAACACAAGTACAATTTAGAACAAACAGAAGAGCTGAAAGCACAAGTACAATATATAACAAACAGAAGATTCTATTTTACACCATCCAACAGTAGAAATACATATAAAGAACATAACAATAGAATAATCTTAATGATACAGACTAAGTGTAACTCTTCCAAAATGTTACATAATTGTCAACCAAGAGCACATGTGTAGTAAAGAATATTCTGAAATAGCCAATTTTATAGTAGAAGGACTTGTCATATTTTCATAGTTTACAGAAGGTATGCACTCGCACAAATGATTACAGAAGTACGATGCCGAATATCTGTATGGCAATTACACACAACATTAACATGATTAGGAAGAAAATGAGCATCTCAATATTCAGAACTGCCAGTACCATATGTAATTCATTAAGACTAAGAAAGAATGTCATTTTTCTACTAAGCATACTAAGCATACACTTGACAACGATTCCATACACGTATTTCATAAAGTATGACCAAAACGTAGTTTGTTGTAAATAACAAGAAAAACAACGTTGGCATTATGTCACTTTCGTTTCAGAATTATAGATTTATTAAGAAACTTAAAATTCGAAAAGGGTTATATATATTCTTAATGAATTTCTCATAATATTGCGCAGAAAATTAAGAAGTTGTCTCCAAATAATACTAGTATATTCTTTTCGACTCAACATGCCAACGAATGAATGTACTTTTGATACGTATACATGTGCATTATATTGTCTATTTTCCTATTTTACGTTGAACAGTTGTATATTTGTTACATTTCCATTTTATCCTGAACCATTAAAACAGTAACTGTATTATATGATGAACTTTGTCATTACCTCATTAATTGCCCTTTAACATTCCCTAACATTGCTTATTGTTCACATCCATCTACAAATATAATAAATCAAATATTTATTTAACTCTTATTTTCTTATTTATAAACGGTTTTGATTTTTAGTTCAATTGTGTATTAATAATTATTAACGATGTGAGAGAGAGACAAATAGACTGTTACATGGTGGCTATTGTCGAGTAATGACAAGTAGAACAAAAAAGGTTTCTCACACGCTTTGTGTCCAGTGATGCAATTATTGACCATAATGAAATGATGGTATTGGTATGTTTTTAAAAGTCGTCATGAAGATGTCTATAGATGTTTACGCTTCATATTTTGATTTTATAGTCTTGTTTGACCAAACGATATATTAATCCTGATCGTAACCATCTACATGTACATTCATAGTGAGCGCCCTACAAGAGAACAAATACTTCGAAGTCTTCTTATTCTATTTATCAAAATTAATACATAATAATGTCTTAACAATGGCGGCAGCATAGTGACTAATCTTTATCTGGAAATGGGGACCGTAGTTCTATATGCAATTTGAATTCCAATAAAACAAATTATCCATTTTCCCTTTTTTATTTAATTTTTGGATAATTATGTATATCAACATCATGATGGTTGTCGAAATACGAATGGCACTACATACCTATACCGTATGTTGTATAAGAAATCTCATATCCTCTACACATGCTAGTAAAACCACAAGAAATAATAACACAGTGCCAAAAAAAAACTAACGCCTTAATTAATGAGACAAATAGTATATCTCAATGATAAACAAAGTAAATACTTATTGTAGAGTGAGGAGTACTGTGGTATTAGTGGTGGGATGACATAAAATATTAATACTTCGTACATCTTACAAAAATGTTTACTTTCTTGATAGTTTGTGCAACAGTGTTTCAGATTCAAAGGGGTGACGCTAAGATATAACAACAATAGCTATATAGCAAACTAGACTGATTTAGGGTTTCTTTTTCCTATACTTTATATATAAATATGTCTTTAGTTGTCAACCTAGCTTTATTGTAGGATGTTAATGCTAAAATTAATCCAGCGTTACGGCAATAATTTGAAGCAATCGATAAATTGTTAGAATTTGAATATCATTAAAAATGTTGAAAGACAACACTAATGTTTTAAAAGCACCAACCCTAAAAGAAAATCTAGTTGAAAAACAAAATGCAACAAAATCAAACAAACAAACAAATACAATACAAAACAAAACAAACCAGTAAAAAGATACAATGTAGTCATGTCGCAATTATTGTCAGAAAGAGATTTCTTGGGTTATTCATGCTTTAAACAAATTAATTATTCCTTGAAAAAAATAATCTCCAGATCTAAACAAAGTAATTTTCACGAAAAGCAGGGAGTAGGGTCAATTTTCCCTCATGCATGTCACCCACTGCTTTCATTAATGTATTTAAATTTAAGGTTTTACAGCTTCATGTGTATACTTAGAGGTTCTGATAGCGTTATGTCGTATTTCAAAGCAGGTTAACAAACTGCACTACTAAATGAAAGGCTAAAATAGTTACTTTAAATTTAAAAGATTTCAGTAAATATTGATCATGTTACAGATTCATCAAAACAAAAATGAATATGTTGGACATTTCCAAACCAAAACCAAAATTTTTCGAATGTCAAGCTATGTGTTGTCTTTTCGGGTACAAGTTAATCGATTTTGGTTCCAAGTATGCTTCCTTCAATGCAATTAAAGTTTGACAACAAAAACCAGTTACCAAACTGGTATCTCACCTATTTTATAGAAAATGTCTATAATGTCTAAATGTTTAGAATTTAATGGCATTTTGATTGTATTGTTATAAATAAATCATCATAGTTTATATTTTTTTTGCGGTTTAAGGGTATTTGCGAGCTAAGCGATGCCTGTTGAATGATTCCATTTAGAAAAATACTAAATCGCATTATGACAATGATTGCAAAAAAATCATTTTTGAAATGTTCTTTAATACAAGCATGGTTTTCAATGATATTGAAATTCAAAGAACTTATCTATCCCATATATTATATTTGTATGTTTGTTTTAGCTTGCACAGCTCTTTTCAAAATCCTATATAACAGGTTTGGTGGTCAATTCTTTTTGGTCTGCCCTTTAGGCAACAGTAGTTACTACCCATATTCAAATCCCATAAATGGATGAAGAAGACAAATAAAGGTAACAAACACAAATTGCTTGAATCGCTTGAACTCCAAGAGGAGCGACCGCCTGGGTGGTCTGGTGATAGCGTGTTCGCCGCGAGTGGGTTGGAATCCCGTCCGGGTTAAACTAAAGACTTGAAAATTGGTATTTGCCGCTTCTCCGCTAAACACGAGGCCTTTAAGAGTAAGAGCAAAGACTAGTCGACTCGTGGTCAGAATTATGTGTCCGGGTAGTGTGTGATAATAATGTGACATGACTTTCTTCGGACTGTTACCTTGTAATCTAGCACGTAAAAAATCGGTCTCAGAGTGTCGATTTAGTACAAAGTATACTATTACATTATCATGTTCTCGTTCTGAATATGCATTTTTAACTTACCTTTGAACGTTAAACAGCCATCCATCCATCCATCCATCCATCCATCCCATCGTCGACAGGGTAAGCATCTTCTGCTATGCATGAATCAGCTGCCATGCAAATCAACGTTACACTCAGTCGAAATGTCACAATCGGGAATAGCACACAATGGGTAAAATTACAGATTAGATGACTATTCTGGTATCTGAACATTTAAAACTGCAATAACATATCGCTAGTGAGTAGAGACGCAAACATATCGTATTGGTCAACCAATTCGTGATGGTGAATATAACTCTACTTATAACTCTGTTGGAACTTTTTTTGTGTAAGGACCACACCCCTGCTAATGAAGTATGTATAGTGTGAACAAGCAAGAGCGTAACGTATCAATTGCGATATGTAAACGCCATACGACGCAACAGATGGAAAGTTACTGATGAGTAAAGGAAAGTTGGCAATTGGAAAGTTGAAATCGTCATGCTTTTCATTTATTTTAGTTTAAAGTCGTCCATCTGTGTCAATATCGAGGTAAAAATCAAGATATGAAGCAGACATTCTGGTCTCGGTATAATCCTTAATCTCAAGTTAATTGGGCTATATGAGATGCAAACATTCACTAAAATGTGGATTATTATGGTTATATTAAGTAACAGGATATCATCAATATATCTCAAAGTGAAATTAAAGAACTCAAAATATCTTTAATTCACACTATTCATCTTGATTCATATTAATGTAATTAAAACTCAATTGTTTTACGGAAAACGATAAGGCTGAAATAAAGTTGTACTAAGGACAGGTGTATTACAATTTACACAATATATGTATTACACTTGTAAGATAGAGTTTTGTTAGGAGCTGCGCTTGGTGATAAATACTAGTACGACTTTCCTGGTGTATATATAGAGAATATTATATGGCTTTTTCAATATCACATCCGTATCAACCAGAGACACCAATATAATCCCAAGAGCTCTGTGTGATATTGAAAAAGCCATATCATATACACTTTATTATATCTCAAGTATAGATGTTTTTTCATGTGACATGACGTCATACATATCAGGGGTTTGATAAAGCCTTTGCAACGGTGACTGATGTCGATGAAGTGACGTCATACAGATTAAGGGTGTGATAAAGCCTTTGCAACCGTGACTGATATCGATATCATCCCGGATGGCTGACTGCAGCACGATTGCCATTGACCGTATTACACATACAATTTACATTTATTTACTACTAAGTACTCAAGAAGCTTTCCGATACTATACAAGCATTTCAGTTCATTCGCCTCGATCACTAAACAAACAGATTCTGTCATTATCACATGGTTACTCTCATTTGTATGGCATGGTATTGGTTGCAAAAATTAATTATTTTTCATTTATTTGCAATATTTTTAATTTAATTGGTATATTTCTTCATTTAAATGCAATATTTTTTTTATTTGAATGGTATATTTTTTCATTTAAATGCAATATTTTTTATTCAAATGGTATAATTTGTCATTCAAATGCAAAATTTTTTATTTGAATGGTATATTTTTTCATTTAAATGCAATATTTTTTATTCAAATGGTATAATTTGTCATTCAAATGCAATACTTTTTATTCAATTGGTATAGTAGTTTTTTTATTTATATGCAATAATTGCATTATGGGAAATTTTTTGACGTCACAAGGTCAAATTTGCAACAACGTTTGTGATTGGTCGGTAATTGTTTGGATTTCTCCCCTATCTTTCTAAACATGAGTGACCAAGAATTAAATAAACGCGTCGGAATATCGCCCCTCTAACTAAATTTGGCGTTCATGCGAGTTCGTGCACTGGCTGTTAATGCCGATAATTATTATTAATTTGACAAGTAATAATAATTAATTTGACACACAACCTGTTCATGGATAGAAAGAGATGCCTACGTGCATGGCAAAAAAAAAAAAACGCCTCAAATGAAAACCCTTTCTGAAGAAACTCCCCTCAGTCTACACATTGAAATAAATAAAAAAAAAACTTCATATTTTGGACTATCTATAATATGTGCTCTCATGTCATATGCCGCAAATCATTTTACATTTAGGATTCGTTGCTGAGCTTTTTTTACTGTTCCCATCTCCGAATCCCTTAAATAGATTTTTTTTTCAAGCCCCACAGTAGTTCAATAATTACTATATGTCTTTGCATAATAAAGAAGTATGCAGAGCATATTTCAAAACATAGTTTTTCTCCAGGACTTCTAAATTATTTACTTTTCAATACTGCATTTGGAAATGGGGGGGGGGGGGGGGGGGGGGGGGGGGGGTTATACAAGTTTATTTTGTGACACAGTATATAATATAATTAGATACAAATCTCTAATGATTTGTATCCAACAAATTATAGAATTGTACGTTTAGCTATTATCTAGACCCGTACAAAATGTATATAATAAGATACATTTAACATGGGTGGATCCAGAACCTCTGTGTCTAGGGGGGGGGGGGGGGGGGGGGGGGGGGTGTCAGATTTAGATATTTGTATAGAGATGTATATATGCGAGTATTGGCAGTAATG